TATGGAAGTAGATTGCCCAACCTTCCTTCCAAGGAGTGGCTGGTGGGTTTGAACCGCCAGCCTTCTGGTTAGCAGTCAAGTGCCTTAGGCACTAGGCCACCAGAGCTCCCATTACCAAACAAGTGGCCATGCATTCATGTGCTGGTGGCAGCTGGGAGAAGGGACAGAATAGCAAGCTTGCCTGGTAGAGAGGAGGGCCCAGAGTTCAGTGGGTAGTCCCAGAAGTACAGGGGTTCTGAGTGGCCCTGGCCCAGGCCCATCCTTCTGGAAGGCAGGAGCCAGAATGTCAGGCTGGGCCCAGGTGACTCGGAGGTAAACTAGAAGACTCTCATAGCACCTCATACCCTCAGCACTGCTGACCGGAAGCTCAGGGTGTTCAATCTGGATAGACTTAGAAACCAAGCAAGTAGCCATGGGTCCTCAATTTTGGTATGGGGAAGAGCTGAGCACCTGCTCATTATCTCGTGTTGATCTGAAGAAAAGATTAATCAGAAATGCTAGTCAAAAGCACATTCCTGGGCTCCAACCTGGAGTCCCTTGACCAGAATTTCCAGCAGAGAGGCCTCCTAGTCTATATATTTGAAGAGTGGCCCCCAGATAAATTTTTATCAATGGGGAAGTTTGAGAAACATAAAATGTGATCTGATGATGCCGTGGGAACTTGAGGGACTGACGGGAGATGAGCAACATGTGGGGGAGGGGAGAGACTGCTGAAAATGGAAACATCCATAACCTTTTCCGAGTAGCTCTTAAGACCCAGGCACAGGCTAGCAGAGCAAAGCACACAAGAATGCCTGCCCTCAGGGAGTACATGTTCTCTGGTTCTGTGAGAAGATGGCTTGGATGTGATTGTGCCCGGAGGCCATGGATTGGGAAGGATGATCTGGAAAAGATGCTCCCTGCCCCAGTTTTACACGATTCCCTAGGGGTAGGCTAAGATCTCTGAACTCAAGAGATCCCAACCACTGCAAGATTGTAGCCCCCAGTCCTCCATCTCTGCCTTTCTGTCACAGGTAATTCCAAATTAAAGACTCAATCCGCATACTGTGAAATAAGTATAAAGAACTTCAGCAAAACTCTCTTTCCTCATTGTTGTTGTTACATGCCGTCGAGTTGGACCGACTCATAGCGACCCCTCCTTGGGTTTCTGAGGCAGTATCTCTATGGAAATAGATGGCCCAGTCTTCCTTCCATGGAGTGGCTGGTGGGTTTGAACTGCCAGCCTTCTGGTTAGCAGTCAAATGTCTTAGGCACTATGCCAGCAGAGCTCAGGTTTTATTTTCCATGATTTTTTAATTTCCAGGTAGAAAAGGGAGCGTTTCAAAGTCCTTGCTATAACAAGGAGGCGTGTTGGGTCTGATGGGAACAGAGAACCTGTAGAGGAGACCGCCTCTGAGTTCTCTCCCAGCCTCTGGCAAAGCCCACCCATCCTGGGGTCAGTCACCTCTGCGCAGGGCTTGCAGGCTCTGCCGGGCATGACGGTGCAGCTCCTCCACGCAGGGCGGCCTGGTGGCCGGGAGGAAGATGTTTCTCTGCTGGTGCCAGGGTGCTCGGTAGTACACGCTCAACTTACTCTCGATATCCAGGTTGGAGACGGCTGAAAGAGAAAGAGGGAAATGAGGTGTTCTACATCAGTGTCTTTAAGTTATGCTATCAGCAGACTCCAGGGTGGGGTAGGGCTGGAGTTTGGGTGGCATGGGAATTTAGGCTGCTGCATTCACAGTAAGAACTAATTTTACAATACAGATCTCAACAACCCCTGCCCTGAGCCAAGGGATAGGAGACCCGAGCGCACCAGCCATCTGCTTCTGAGCCACTCATTTCCTCTCCACTTTCACTTCTCACCCTCTGATACATCATCAACCTGGCCAACAATGCTTGGGGAAGAAAGGGATCCTGCCTCCCAAGAAAGCAGAAAAAAGCCTCAGGGATGAGTCCAAAGGGCTGGCCTAGCTCTAGTCTTCAGGCTGTGGGCTCTCAGAATTAGAGTTCTGCTCCACAGCTCCTGAGGCCCATTGGAACTCTAGCTTATTCCTTGCCCTCTCCGTCTCTTGTAGCCCTTGATTCCTGACCTCACTATTTATCCTTATCCTGCCTTCCACCTGCCAAATCTATTGCCTGCCATCTTTCAAAGCATTGCCTCAGTCTCCCTGGTTTCACCCAGGGAGGAGCACAGGCATTAAAGCAATCATTGCAGTGGTAATGGGTGTTAAGGGAGGGGAAGAACAGGGATCGCTGTTGAGGAGAGAGGTGTGGGCCCTTGGACTCATCTAAAAGGCCCCCTTCCCCCCAAAGTACAGCACTTAACCTACTGTTGTCACCTCACTGACACAGTGAGTCAGAGCATCCTAGGTCAGAAATGACTCCAGGAGTATAAAATCAAATCCAGCTCTGAGAAATCAGGAGGGTTCTGTTTGGGACATCACTGCACAGAGGAAACTCATTAGCCTTTGGGCAGCCTGTCAGCCTCCATACAGTGAGAACTGCTCAGTGTACTGTGTCCTCCAGACCCACTCTGATGTGGAACTAAGGCCACCCTCATTCCGCTTCTTGTCTGCTTTTTGCCAGTGTGATTTTGGGGAGCTTCACCCACTAGTTTGTCCCTGTGCCCTAAACAAGCTTTTGGTTCCTCTCCTACCCTTTTCCTTGTGAAGTCTCATCTACTGTTTCACTTAGTCTGAGAAGCCTCACTCTACAGATAAAGCAGAATGACAAATGAAAAAGAAGAGAGCATAATTTCATCAAAGGGGAAGAGAAGAAAGAAAACTGGAAAAACTGCAATCTTTTGATAATTAATCCCCCCTCCAAGTACTGAACTAATGGCCAGTTATTATTTTTTTTAATGCAACCTTCTGTTGTGTTGTTTTTTCCCCCTAGAATAATTTATCATAACCACAAGAATTACCACTAGAAACAAAGATATATTTCCATTGTGATTCAGAGAGGCAAGCCCCTGAATAGGGCCCAGCCTCCTCCTTTGGCCTAAACTTTACCCCTTGTCCGCTTCGGTTTCCCATAATTCAGTAGTGCTAATCCAGGATTTCTCCAACACAGCACTTTTGACATTTTGGGCTGGATAATTTTTTTTTGTGTGTGGGGAGTTCTCCTGTGCATAGTATAGCATCATCTCCAACCTCTACCAATTAGATACCAGTAGCACATAGGCGCATTTAGTGACAACCAAAAATGTCTGCAGACATTGCCAAATTTGCAAAATTGCACCTGGTTGAAAACCATTAGGCTAATCGGAAGGATATGCAGATTTGATCTTTAGCTTTACAACTCTATGATTTAGTTCACATGTATTGGAGGAGTGCCTGTACACATGTATCCTGAAGTGAAGTAAGTAATTCATCCATTTAGACATTAATGAGTGCAGTGTTAACCATATCGTTAGGTACCAAGAAACAAGAAGATTATAATACAGTCCTTGAACTTGAAGATTTAGAAACAGATATTAACTGTATAATGTGACAAAGGCCATGCCTACTGTGGTCAGCTGAACAATGGCACCCTAAAATATCCATGTCTTAAGAAAGAGGAAGCAGTCCATTTCTGTAAAGATTTACAGCCTTGGAAACCCTATGGGACAGTTCTACTCTGTCTTACAGAGTCGCTGTGAAACCAAAAACCAAACCCACTGCCATCGAGTCAATTCCAACTCATAGCGACCCCCATTGAGTTTCTGAGGCAGTAAACCTTATGGAAGTAAATTACCCAGTCTTCCTTTTGCGGAGTGGTTGGTGGATTTGAACCACCAACCTTTTGGTGAGCAGTCAAATGCTTTAGGCACCATGCCACCAGAGCTCCTTAGGGTTGCTATGAGTCAGAATCAACTCAATGACGGTGGGTTTGGTTTGGTTTTTTAATCCCTGAAACCTGTGAATGTTGCCTTATAAGACAAAGGGGACTTTGAAGATGTGATTAAATTAAGAATCTTGAGATGGGGAGAGTGTCCCAGATAATTCATATTGGGCCTGATGTAATCACGGTGGTCCTACAGGAGGGACACAGGAAGAGTCAGTCAGACAGAAGGTTATGTGACAACAGAAGCAGCAGAGGGACAGAGAGAAAGAGATTTGAAGATGCTAAGGCTGCTGGCTTTGAAGATAGAAGGAGGCCACAAGCCAAAGGATGCATGTGGCTGCTGGAAGCTAGAAAGGCAAGGAACAGATTCTCCCCTAGAGCCTCCAGAAGAAGCCAGCTCAGCCGACACACTGGCTTCAGCACCGTGAGACTGATTGCAGCTTTTGGCCTCCAGAACTGTGAGAAAATAAATTTGTGTTGTTTTAAGCCACAAGTTGGTGGTATTTTGTTATAGCAGAAATAGAAACAAATACACATATAGTGGTTATAAGTTCAGAGCCTCAAATCAGACCTGATAATCAAATGGAACAGGACCAGAAGTGAATTGTTAGAAAAAATAAGTTTTATTGAATCATTTGTCTGGCAGATGGGTTGAGGCTTAAAGCAGCATCAGCCCCGATGATCATGTCTCCTCAGGGTGCTTAAGTAGTGTTTTAATGTAGGAGGTAGCCTGCCTGTTTCAAAAGAGCCAATCCTGAGTGCCAAGGAGGAAACTAA